CGAGTCACAGGGCCGTCACACGGTGATTGATGGAAGTTTTTGTGCCGTGCCAAGTTTTAAGCGTCTTCCTGACTGTTTGGCTCTTCCCTTGTCGTAGGATTTCGTCCACCTGGATTGCAAACGCGTGTCCAGAGACTGCGCGTGGATATATTTGACCATCGCTGTCTGAGAAACATCCTTTGAGTGGAGTACATCCGACTTAGTCTCAAATGAGACAGTCCGAGATTGCTGCGACATTGTCATGAGGATATCTCAGGCCATCCAAGAAGGACGACTGAGGTCGTTTGGGCGCATTCTCTGTCGTCCGCCTCAAGAGCTCTATTATACTGCCCTCAACCCGGCAACACTGCCTATCCGGAGGCGTTAAAAGGGGGATCAACTTAAGTCCTGGCTCGACACATTTCGTCAGGACATGGAAGCTGTTCTTGGACCTTCGATACTCGGTCTCCGTCGCTGGAGAAGAGAATGGGTTGAGCTTTTCAGGTCAACAGTTGCAAATCGTCATGCTTGGAGACATACAGTCCGTGACATCATTGTGGCCGACTAGATCAGGCATGATCACAACCGAGTAACATCGAAGATTTCGCTGAGACGAATTGAGTTCCATCTAAGTCTACCAGACGTGGCGTGTTGGCGTTCGCAGACAGTCGGTAGTTTCGCATCTCATGCAGCCGGAATAATACCGTCTTTTTGTCGCAAAATCGTTTTTCTTTTCCTACCGCTTGTGAAACTGAGTTTTCTTGGGAAGTAGAAGCAGTTCTGGTGTTATCGACGTGCATTTTCATGGGCCTGGTTGGCAGTTGTGAGGATGGCGTCGCACAATTAGTTCCATGTATTTTTTTAGTTCTTTAATCGTTTAGATTGGCGAGATCTCGGTTACTTTCGGCGCGTTCTGGTGGCGTTTTCATCGGAGTCCTCTTTGTTTTGCACAATTACGTTACTGTTTAAGTTCTGCAAATATGCCCAAGTCCATTTCACAAACACGTGTTTTCAATAATTAATCTGGCCTATACACTTACATAGGTAATGCAAATATGAGAGTTGAAAAAGGTTTGCAAGTGTCTTATGGTTAACACTCATCGCTCTAACGTTGCCCACATGGCAAAGTCGGCAGGTCGAGGTAATTAGGACTGGGAAAAAGGAGAAGTGGCATAGGGTATGAGCGATGTTCTAGGTCAATTACCTGAAGGAACATCACTGTAGGGATGGAATAACTTTCATCAAGGAGTGGGTGTGACATACGATCACCACCTGACGTCGGCGTCGGCAACGAAAGTGAAAGCGCCTGTAGTAGCTTCATCTGACAATACAGAACTGGATTCGTTAGCCGTGTAGCCGCGGCTTCGGCTATTGTTAGCATACGTTAGCGTAGGCCCTTGGAGAAGTTGGTTGGTGTCCTTCCACTCCCTAATGACAATGGTTTACTCCGCGCGCTTGACACTGACGTTCGCTCTTTGTACTCTACCCATAAGTAATACTCAGCCTTTCGTACTCTTCCCAGTTCCAGTGACCTCGCCATGCAGGCAGCGTGAGAACCATAAGAACCACAAGCACAGGACATTAATACTGCCTG